ACACTGTTTTCATGTAAAAGCAACATGAGGGCCGCATCTTCGTCTGCATCGACGGCTGGCCCATCTTCAAGACCTTCCGCAAGAGCTTGCGTCAATTTCACGCGCCTGGCTTCGCGGGCCCCTTGTGGTACCCAGCCGACCCCGACCTTGACGATATCATTTTGCGCCCTTACTCCGACGTGGAGGTGGTGGCCACGTGCATCGGCTTCAACCACGCGGCGTTGCTCTTATCTCCCGATCGCTACGCCTGCCTCATTAATCGTGAGATGATCAAAGTGCGCGAGCCATTTTCTTTGGTGCGTGCGAGTGCCTGTTTGATTTTGCGCGCGAATGCGTCTGTATGCGCATGAGCAACGTGCGCGCGCGTTCGACCATCTCGACATTATCGCATCGCCGATGCCATCGGCCGTCGGGCGCGCACACATTCTGCATGGCATTCCAGTGACACACTCAGGCCCGCAAGTGCGACGTGACTTTCGTCTTCAACGAGAACGGTGCAACGACCACTATGACGGGTATCGGGTGGGACTGCACCTGGAAATTCATTGAGAGCGTCGCCCAGGCGGGCCTCGGCTTGCTCCCGCATCGCCGCATTCTGTTTGATGCGGTGGCCTTAGATTACTGATGCGCGCAATGCGATTATCTGATCGGTCTAATGTTTCGATCGCTGTGGTGGAACATGGTCGATCTATCTTACCGATTGAATGCTATGGCGATCGATCTAATACGGCGATCGACTTTTCAATCTAACATGGATATGGCGTTTCTTCTGCATCTGAGGTGGACGGAGACCAGCCGACTAGCCGCATGAGGGTCGGCCCTAGCTTCGGCTTCCGCTCGGTCCGCGCTCGCTTTGCGTGGGGGCACTGTCTTGGCAACCGATCAGCCGCCGCCAGACCAGGCAGCATTCGGCCGGTGTATGAAACCGAGCTCGTCGCCGTGGGGGAGAGTTCCGTATCCCACCCCAGAAGTAAGCTTCTTTTGTCCTTCTCTCTCTAAAGAAATGGTGAGATGGATCGCGAGACCGATACCCAGTGAGACAGGGGGGGGGACGGAGAGTAGGGGAACAGGGAGAACAAGGCGGCACGAGGAAAAACATGATGATCATAATGATGAGAAAAAGAGGGGATATCGAGAAGAAGGAAACGGAAGACGCGACGGATGTGACGGCAGGGGAGGCGACATGCCCGCCGCCCCACAGCGATTCAAGCCTCGCGCGCACCAGCGCGTCACACCCCTCCGTATACCTACCCGGACTGCCAGACATGCCAGTCTCCCTGACCACCGTTCCTTCATGGTTTGGCCCTTCGTGGGCCGCGCCTTCGTTGCCCGGCGGCTTCCAGTCTCGGGCAGGCATGACAACGAAGTCTTGGGCAGTCTCGGGCCGCGCCTTCGGCGTCAACGACGTCGTGCATTGGGCAGGCAAGGACAACTCCTACGGCATGAAGGGCAAGATCCTCTGGAAGAGCTTGTTTTACGGGCCAGGCTCCATTCTCGTATCATTCAAAGGTGTTCTTGCCTTAGGGTTAGACGATCTGCTCGTGGCTTTCGTTTGATCGCTCGCTGACCGCCGATTGCGCATATCGATAGATCATATCGCATCGGAGAACAAACCAAACACACGCTAAGGTTCCATACCACTGCAAGCCGGGCGACATCATTCACTCCGACCCATCGACGTTCAAGAAGGAACGCCAAGCACGCAGGGCCGCAGAGCGGGCAAGCACCCGCACGTCATCGGGGAGCTCTCAGGCAACGGCGAACACAGGAGCGCGTCCGCCGCCCAGTCCAGTGCACCATGAGGAGGAACCGGACCCAGCGCTGGATGCTCCGTTTCCCCTCCGCAAGTACGGGCGCTTCTACGGACGCTCTCAGCAGGCAAGCCGCCTCGGCCAGCGATTCGGTCGCATTCTAAGGCGACGTTGTGCCAGAGCTGCGGCCAGTGAAGGACCCGACGCCGCGTCGACGGTGCGAACCCTCCCGCGGCCGAGGAGCTGGCACGCAGACTTCGAAGGCGACGCGCCCGTCCCCCGCACCAAGGACATGCCCGACAAGAAGCGCGACGCGCAGGCCGCCGAGTTCGACGACGACCCGCTGGGTGGCGTGGAATGCGCAGGAGGGGGCGCCGTCGCGCGCCAGCAGACGTTTATCGAGGACTGCTTCCGGTGTTCGAAAGTCTCGTCGCGTTTTGCGCGCCGGGAGATCCGCGCGCATCCCCCGCCCCCCGCGCCCGCCCGCTCTTGGAAGGGGCGCCCGCCTCGTCAGTTGATGTTCGGGTCCGATGCGACCCGTTTCGAATCCGATCTGATTTCCCGGGTCGATCCAGCGCAGATTTGTTAACCATCAGGACCAGGAGGATTTGTTCGTGAGCAGCCTGATGGGCGCTCTCACGACGCGTGAAGTCCTCGAACGAACTGCGGCGCTGCAGGCCGCCCCCCCCTCCTCCCGAGAGGGGAGAGAACGAGAAAGAGAGAGAGAGAGAGAGAGAGAGAGAGAGAGAGAGAGAGAGAGAGAGGGAGAGAGATAGCGAGAGCGAGATAGAGATAAAGATATTGAGAGAGAGAGAGAGAGAAAAAAAAAAAAGAGAGAAAGAGAGAGAGAGAGAGAGAGAGGAGGAAGTCAGGAAGAGAGACACAGAGAGAGGGAGAGAGAGAGACAGAGAGAGAGAGAGAGAGAAAAAAAAAAGAGAGATAGAGAGAGAGAGAGAGATGGCGCGAGCGCGAGAGCAGCATGCGGCGAGGGCCTCTCCAATGTGCTATTTGTTTCCCGCAGGAACGGCACGGGGCTGTGGCGTGGTTCTTGCATTATTTGTACTCGGCGAAGATGAGGATCGTATGTGAGAGCATTGCAATTGACTGGAAGCAGTCCCTGTGGCGATCCGGCTATGGGACCCCTGCCAACGAGATGGATTACGCGTCGACGCTCCGATATCAGCGTGCTCTGAGCGCGCGGCTGCATCGTCACCGCGGACTCGATCTGGTTCTGGACGGGCAAGCTCGGCGTGATCGTCTGGACCACGAGCTGCACGGCCGTCGCGTCGAATACCAAGACCTTGGGGACCCGGACACGCTGCTTCCGCGTTTTCATCTGCGGTCGCGCCCCGAGCACTGGGTGCTTCCCCTCGCCCAGTGCGCCTTCACGCAGGCGCAAGTGGAGTTGCACCACGTGTCCAGACACATGGCGGAGGCAGATTTCCATCGAGAGGTTCGTGAGATGGAGGATCGAGCGGGCAAATGTGCGACATTGCTTTGGGATCTCATGTTCACAGAAGCCTTATACAGATCGGACATCGGAGCATTGCGGCGACGCTTGGCGGCGGTGGGCCGCCCGTTCTCTGCTGGGGGCTCCAGGCAGCCACCCTCTCTCGACTTGCCCGCCGACGCCGGCTTTCACGCGGGGGACTTGCTCGCGGATGGCGTCGTCGAAGATTTTAAGGAGAAGAGATTCATTGGCGTGGCTGCGGTCAAGAGGTCGGTCGAGTACGTCTCTGTGCAGTTGCCGAGCATCACAAGGGAGATCGCAGACGAGGACAGACCACCAACGCCAGAACCTGGCCTGTCGGGAGTCAGCAAGCGACAGTGGGAGGCGAAGGTCCAGCAGTGGCGCAACGGCCAGTTCGAGGTTCTCGACGCCGTGCCAGTGGGCGCCGCTGCGATGGCGGCGGCCCTAGATGTTGGGCTTTGGGTCGAGCCCTCGCTGCCTGCCATGCCTGGCGTTGACTTGCCCCTGTCGGATGGCAACTGCATTCTGCTCGCGCACAGCGTTCTTACTCGGGATTTCCACAGATGCGTCGATTATTGCCGGCGGTTTCCTGTTCCTCGTGGTGCGGTGCGTCGCTACGCAGACGTCGCCGAATATTTCGGGCTCACTGTCACTCGTTCGCCCACGGGGACTGGGCTGCCTGGAGGACGTCGTCCTTCACCCGGGAAGTATTTTTTTCATTTTCGGGACCATTGCCGCGCGGTGGCCACCCTGCCGGGCATTGACTCGACGATCTTCTGAAGAGGCAGCAGACGCTATTTCTTGCCCACATCTGCCTGGATGCACTGCGCGAACAACCTCGTGGGCGAGATGGTCCTCATCGACGACCCGCTGGGGGGCGCCGCACATAGCGAAGGAGGGGCCAACGCGTGCCTCGCCTGGGCGTTGAATGCGTTGGGGCCCCGAGTGCCGACCGCTGTCCAGGGCCCGTTCCGCGCTCTGGAGCACTAGAACCAATGGCTGGCGGACCACGGCCTGATGTTGATCAAGCAGCCGCGGGGCCCGACGGGCCCAGGGCGCTACGTCAAGTGGGAGCCGCTCAGGGACGGCGCAGGACGGGTCAAGAGCGTCGGCCATTTCACGGCGGTCGTCTTGCAGCCAGACCGCGTCGCTGCCGTCGATCGCGAGGCAGGGCTGCCAGTGCTGAGAGAGTGGCGCACGTGGGGCGACATTCCCAGCGTTGAGCAACACAAGTGGTTCAAGCTTGTGGAGCTTGGTGCCGACGAGCACAGCCCCGAACACAGCCGCGTTCTCCCCAGGGGGACAAGAGCGGACATGATCCAAACCCACCGGCTTGACGCAGTCATCCGTCGACGTGACGCGCGCAAACGGGCCAGGGTGCAAGGGCCAGAATCCTGCGTGTCTTCGCTCTCGCCACAGCAGGCGGCGCGGGTGACAGCAAATCACGAGGAGGCCATGCGGCGGAGAGCCCTGCGCCTGAAGCGCCCAAGGAGCCGTTCGATTTTCCTCAGGACTTGTCGCACCTCCCGAAGGTCTACTTTCTCGAACGTCTCAATGCACACGTCCGGGACGACCGACTGCTCTTCGTGGAGGAGTCGCACACGTACTTCATAGATGGCGTGCGGGCTCACGGGTCAGTAACTGGCTTGATTCACGAATATTCCCAAGGCTTTGACGCTTGTGCCGTGATCCGCAAGATGCGCAGTGGGCGGAATTAGCCCCGGCCAGAGTATATGCGCCCTTCTTTCCCGGAAACTATTGTGGCAGAGTTGCAGGCGATGCCGGAGGCCGCGCCGTTGAGCGCGTTGCTTGCGCGTCGTTGTGCCCCTGCATCCGACGTACGCGCCGCCGCTCAGCTGACCGTGCGAGCCGCGCCGCACTTGCTGGACCTGGCGGACGGCCTGTCGCTCACTGACCAGGAGATCATGGAGAAGTGGCGCTTAAACGGCGCAGAGGCGGCGAGGCAGGGCACGTGGATGCACTGGACCTTCGAAGCGTACCTCAACCGTGTTCCCGTGTCCGATGAGTCAGTTGAATTCAATTTGTTTTCGACATTCTTGCGCTCGCTGGGGGGTCTGGTGGCTTTCCGCACCGAGTGGGCGATCGTCGCGGAAAGCGAGGGGCTGGCTGGTTCCATCGATTTCGTGGCGCAGGACGACGCGGGTCGCCTGTTCATCTACGACTGGAAGCGGTCCAAGAACTTGCGTTTCAAGTACGCCCACCAGTGGGGGGACATGAAGTACCCATTGCAACAGCTACCAGACTGCCAGGGGCAACATTATCGGGTTCAGCTCAACATTTACAAATGGATCCTGGAGCGGTACTACGGCGTCCAAGTGGCCTCGATGTCGGTGGTCTGCTTGCACCCAGACAACGGTGACAACCCATTCGTTGACCACGTGCCCGAGATTCCAGAGATCGAGCTTCTCATGGCCATGCAACGTGACCGATCCAGGGAGTTGCGGGCCATGGCGTTGGAGGATGGCAGCGAGGTTGACCCGTGGGGCGGCATGGGCGACGAGGAGGGCGACTTCAACGGCGTGGTGCGCATGGAGGAGGACGCCACGAGCCCACTTGAAGACGACCCTGAATTGCACCACCCTGGCGACGCCGCGCTGCCCGCCGGGCCGCCGCCTGCGCGGCGCAGCCGCGCGCACTCGTCGGTGGGTGGCGAGGAGGACGCAGATGGGGAGGCGCGGTCGGGCGCCGCGGGAAATGCCCCGAACGTCACTTTGTTCAAGAGACGCCGCCTGATGATAGGAGCACAGACATCGAAACAAGACTTCGAAAAATTGTTCCCGGAGTGCAGGAAGAAGTCCGAGGACAGCCTGCGCGGCGTCGCCAAGGACACCAGCGGCCACGATAGCACCCTCATCGAGAAAACCAAACTGCTCAGGAAGGCCGTCCAAAAGAAGTTTGCTTCTTGGAACGAGGAGAGGCACGAGGACATGGTTCGCCTGGCGTGCGGGGTTCTAGCCACGTACCGCTTGCGTCTCGTGGACCTCTTTATCCGTGAACACGTGCTCTTGCTTTGGTTGATCCAGGGCGACCTCCACATGACTGCCCATGATGGGAATTGCTGGTTCTACCAGAGCAGCAGCGGCGCCATGCGGTTGTACGAGGGGCTACCGCCTGAGTCAGCCTTCGGCCGCGTGAAGGAATACTTGCTGGCATTAGAAGGAGTATTCAGGCTGATGCCCGCAGATACCAGACGGGACGACCGCAGCCTCCTGGACGCCTTCGGCAGACTCGCGGGAGAAGACATCGCATCGTTCTGGAATCAATGCAAGGACGCTGCTATCTTCTCGAAAGGGTCTGGGGCGAACAAGAAGCGCCTGGCGCCCGAGGAGGGGGCAGTGAGATTTGCGGAAGAAGAGGCACCCGCGGCGGAGGCAGAGGATGCGCCGACTAAGACATGGAATATCCATACGGCGGCAGCCATCAGCAAGGTCGGACTGCAGTTGCAGAGGTCGCTGTTGGATGGCAAGCTCATACCTTATTTCGTCGAATGGTGCGAGACACCAGACCCTCGACATGACCCTCAGTATGTTCCTGGGTGTTGCTACGGCGACATCTGCATTCTGTACGAAAAGGCGCCTGGAGAGATTGTCACGAAGGTGGACAAATCGCCCCGGAACAAAATCTACGTGTGCATACCGCACCCACTTATGGACCCCATCGAGGAAGCAGTCTGGGATGAGGTTACGACGTTCTATGCTCAATCCTTCTGGGGCAATCTGAAGGTTTTCGAATGCTTTCAAGCTGCGCACGCTCTGGCGAAGAGGGGATTGAATGTCGACCGCTGTTTCTTCGGCCGCAGCCCGGGCGGGGTTGGGCAATCTCTGTATAGCGCGCATTTGAATGCCGTATACGCCCACAACCACAGGTACTTCGACCCGACAATTTGGTACGACGACGGCGAACTCCGCAAACAGATCGAGCAGCACGCCGGGTGCCTCATCATGACGGGCCAAGAATCGCCCGAGACCACCAAGCGAACGCGGGACGACCTGTTCAAGAAGACGGTCTCTGGAGACGGCGCGGCAGGCAGGAGGCCGCACGGCGTGATCACCAGGCCACGGCGGCGAGCTGAAGGAGCGAGGTCGGGGGGTCAGTGGCCGCAGGGGGGCATCGTGCATTGTGGGGCCTAGTGGGGCCTAGCATCTGGGGGCGGGGCCGCGGGAACGCGGGATGGAACGGGCGGGCGGGTGGCCGGGCGGCTTTCAGACCAGAAGAAACCCATTGACTTCCCGACTTGGCTTCTCCTGCTCGCCGCTCGAGGATCTTGGAACTGATCGGATGGACCAGGTTGGACATGAATAAGCTTATCAGATTTTCAGGCGCACGGAAGAGACCTTTTGGGCCATCCATCGCAGAGCGCTCGGGTGGGAGGCCAAGGCGCGTTTTTTTCGACGGTGGGTTCCTGACAGAGCACTACCCTGAACACGAGCTCGACGGCGTGTTTGCCAGGAAGCCTTACTTGAAGAAGCTGCTCGTCGGCTCGCAGGCCGCGGGCGTGGCGCTGAAAATCCAGGACGGCTTCGAGCGCAAGAACAGTCAAGAACGCCGCGGGCAGATTATCGAAGAATACGCTGCCCTGGGCGGCGACGGTGGCCTGACCGAAGCTATGATGAGAGAGGCTTGCGGGCTGAAGCCGCGCCCCCGAGGCGCGGAGGACAAGTTCTATGGTTTGCACTCTGTGGTGGGCCAGGGCGCAGAGGCCGCAGCGACGGCGAAGGACGTGGGGAAGGCCGTCGAAGCGCTACGGCCCGCAATCCTGGAAGAGTGCATGCAAAAGAAGAAAGACAACTTGAATTTCACTACCTTCAAGAAGCTCAAGCTACCAGAGGTGCAGGCGCTCTCTGGCTACAGCAAGGAGGAGGTGTGGAACCTTCTGCGCAAGTCCAGCTTTGTGTTCGCCGTGAAGGCGTGGCCGTCTGGCGAGGGCGTGATGCCGCGCATTCCGATCCCGAAGCCGTTTGCAGATGTCTGCGACGCGAAGCCATCGGGGTTGGAGATGACGTTTCCCGAGCGCTACGCCATGGACACGTTTGGCGAGTACGTCAAGGGGGCAGCGCACAGGAAGCACATCGTCGATATTTTGTGCGAGCACTACAAGCTCGCGGTTCCGCGGCACCACGGAGGCATGAACAAGACTGCCAGACAAAAGAAGGAAGACGTGTTTGCGAGAATCCGGTCTTTCGATGCGCACGAAAAGCTTTGCAACGGCCTTCTCTTCAAATTCGACAGCATCGCCGTGAACGGCATCGCGCTGCGCAGCACGAAGCACCGCAGCATTCTCCTTGAATTCCGAAGCCGCCGCGTGGCAGAGGAGGCGGCGGCTCAGACGTGTTCCAGGAGAGCTTTGCAGCGGCTGTTGCCCGAGGCGAAAGACTTCGACATATCGAGCTGCATGTTGTCGTTGACCAAGCAGTTACTTGAGAAGCTCGGCCTGCTTAGCTCGATTCCCGACCGCTTGAGGGCGTTGCTAGTCAAGTGCGCCGAACAGCGAGACTCTGTGTGCACCGGCGATCTTGGGGCCACCAGGGAGCAGGGCAAGCAACTTCTCGCGGAGCTGCTCGGTGGATCCGCTGCGCCGGAGGAGCGCAATGACGACCCCATTGTGCAAGACGTGCAAGACTTGGCGAGATACTTGCGCTGGTTAGCGTGCTCCTTGTTACCCGACGTGTACGACCAGATGAGGAACGACTCGTCGAAAATGTTCCCAGAGGCGTCCACGTTCTTCTACACGTGGTCGGCCGTCGAAGACCTCGTGCTCTCGCATTGGCTTGATTTCGTATTGCGAAAGCCTCGGTCGCATTGGACACTGCACTACGACGGCATCCGGGTCCAGAATCCAACGGGCGACATCGACGCGGAGGAGTTCCGCGCGCAGAGTTGCGCGCACATAGCGGCGCAGACGGGATTCCTTGTGAACGTCCGAGAGAAGTGCCACAAGACTTTCTCCGCGCTGTTGCAGGAGCAAGGACGTCGTCAGGGAGACGGGGGATCCGTCGACGGCGTCGACGACGTTCTGCTGGCAGAGGGCAACTGTCTCCTCCTGGCGTGCGCGCGGCTGAGCCCCAACCTGCTTGAATTGGCTTCGGGGGCGGCGCGCAGTGACGCAGACGGTTCTGGCGAAGTTCCCTGCCGCGAGTACGCCGCCGTGCAAGATTCGTTGAAGGTGGCCTTCACTCCGCGAGTTGGGTTCGATATCTGTGAAGCTGGTAAGTATATCATTCATGCAGGGGACAGCGGGAAGCCGCGCGGCGTGCCTTTCCACGTCGCGTCTTTGGACGAGGAGTGCATCTTCTGGATGGGGGCCGCCAGGTACTCGATCTCGCTCACGTCTTTGAGGGAGTGCGCCGCTTCTGCCACCGACGAGAGTACCCTCGTTACTTTCGGTTTCGAAAGAAACCCTTCAGCGCCAGACGATGCGCACCAGGGCGCGGAAAAGAAAGCATCCGACAAGTTGCTGGAGCTCCGGGCCGGGGCCCGCAGCGAAACGGCATCGACTGACAACGTCCCGATGTGCAAGTTCCTTGTCGTTGCGAAGGAGGAGGTGTCCGATTATTTGGAAAGCCTAAGTGGATACAGCAAAAGAGGGTCTGGCAAGAGACTGTTCATGCACTCGTGCAGGCTGTGTCCGAAACGATACTTCGCGTGGAAGAACAGGCTGGTTCAGCACGTGAAGAAACATCACCAGAAGCGGACGTCTTTCGTTCCTTACAAGTGCAACAAGATGTTCCGCATTGCGAGGGCCATCTATGACAGTGACAAGATGCGCGGCGTGACAGGCGGCACATACCTGCAGAAGGCAGCGGCTCTGGTGCGCAAGCAGGCGAGCAAGGGACTGTCCAAGAAGGCTCACACGCATTTGGACGAGCACATGGTGCTCGTGTTTGAAGCAGGCGGGCCGAGGTACTACCCGCAATCGGAGCTCTGCAAGATGTTAGTTCGCCGGGTCGGTGGCTGCTACTCGACGCGGGGTTTCTACAATCAGATTTATCGAGATGCGTTGTTGGACGATGGCCGCGTCGAGCGCGTCATGAACGCAGCTTTCGAGCGGTCAGAGCAGGCGGGGAACTGCATTACTTCGCTGATGACAAGTCATCAGACTACGTGGCAGAATATGATCGCCGATGTGTTCCGAGCTCCACAAGCGCGAGAGCATTTCGCCCACTTGCTGGAGGAGTGCGAGGATAACAGCGAGTTCAAGTGGGTGTCCATCGACGGCACTGCGAAGCCGGCATTTACTTTGGTCGGGCAAGTTTCGTATAGAGCGCCACGGTGGGTTCGAGAGGATCAGGCCGTTCCCATTGATGATCAATTCCACGCAGCGTTGACGATGCGGGGCCGGACAGGCGCCGTGCTTTTGGCGACGCCGATTCACACTGAGAAGACAGAAAACATATGTGGTGCTATTTCATCGGCTTTCTCAGCGTCGCAGCTGGCGCAAATCCAGTTCATCGCCACTGATGATCCGTCGGCGAAGCTGCTGGATGGGCTACGAGACGTCTGCGGCAATCTCAAGGCAATCGCTCTGGACTGCTGCCATCTCGCCATGGTTTACGAGCAGGCCAACTGGGAAAAGAAGAGTCCTGGGAGCATGGACACCCGTAAAATCGTTGCGAAGCTCGAAGCAAAGTACGGCGCTGGGCCTCGCGGAGATTTCTTCGACGGCACGAACGCCGCCGCGTCCACGCGGGGCGAGAGGGCTGCCCGCGGCGGCATCGGGCGCAAAAGGATCGCTTCCAGAAAAGCAAAGCGGATCTGAGACGACATCGACGTGAGCAAGCCCTTCCAGACCCGCGCCGAGGTCGTTCGATGCATGGAGGCCGTTGCACGCGTGCACCACAGGGGAATGAAGAAGACGCTGCCCTCCGGCAAGACGAGGTTGCAGATGCTCAAGTGTGCCGCCCAACCAGAGAGGCTGGAGTGGATGTTGAATGCGGCCCGCATGCGCTCCAGGATGACGCGTGAAGAGCGCGCTCTATTGCCCGCAGGTTTTACGGGCGCACTTGGAAGCATTGTTTTTTTTCGGCGATTTGGGGCGTCGTCGAGATGCAAAGTCTGGCCTGCCAGCATGCATCGCGACGCGCGCTTCGAAATCACGATCAATAAGCAAATGCGCTTTCAACGGCTTCCGCGCCACAGGCACCACGTCGAACGAGTCTTTTCACATGGAGCTCAAGCGCTGTTTCTTCGGCCAGGCCATGCACTCTTGCATGCTTTCCTTGAAGCTCGCCGTCATCCAGATCGCCAAGCTGATGACTCATAATCCAGCGCTGTACCACCAGACGCTGGCGCAGGTGCCGCAGAGCCGCCTGCTTCATCGCTTGGCGGGGGCGACGGAGTTGTTCGGCCAGGCGAGCTGGGAGCGATGGTGCGCGCCCCTCTGCGCTGACGGCGCCGCGCAGAAAGCCCCCTCGCCCTATGCCGCCGAGGGGAAAACGCTCCAGGCGCGGGCGTCTCAGTGGCGAGCAGCGAAGGGCGATGCCGGGAACCGCCGCGACAGAGGTAGCCGGAAGCGCACTGTGTTTACTCTACAGAAGCGCCCCGCCGCTAATTTCTAGGCGGCGGACTTCCACTGGCGAGCGGCGAATGGCCCCGTCGAGGGTCTATAAGGACAGAGGCGTGCTAGGCTGAGAAACTAGATGAGAAAAAGAAAACATCAGTGGCAGATTGCGCAGGCGGTGTTAAAAATAATACTAACTGCAGAAGTTGCACGTGGCCCAGAGACCAGATTTGATTCTTCGAAATCAATGCGCACAACTCCACCCACTCCACCAACTCCATCAACTCCACCAATACCACCACACCCACCAACTTCACCAGCTCCACCAACTCCACCTACACCACCAGCTCCGCGAACTCCACCAACTCCACCAAATCCACGATCTCCGCGAATTCCTGGAGCTGGTGGAGTTGTTGGGGTTGGTGGAGTTGGCGGCGGGAGGTCAGGGAGGAAGCCCTTCAGAATTGGTGGAGTTGGTAGAGTTGATGGAGTTGGAGGAGTTGGGCCGCAGCCAACTCCACCAACTCCACCAACTCCAGCACTTCTCCAAGGCATCCGCCATGTCTTTCCGCCGCCAGCTCCACCAACTCAACCAACTCCGCCAACTCCGCCAATTCCTGGAGCTGGTGGAGTTGGTGGAGTTGGTGGGGTTAGCGGTGGGGGGGCAGGGAGGAGGCCCTGGAGAATTGGTGGAGTTGGTGGAGTTGGTGGAGTTGGTGGGCCGCAGCCAACACCACCAATCACCAACTCCACCAACTCC